GTCTTCGCTGCGCACCGGAATCTGATAATACGCTTTTTCCAGGTCCAAGGTAGAAAATATCCTTTTACCTTCCAAAACCTGAAAACAGTCTTGCATGTTGGGAACAGGGTACCTATCTGGCACGGTCACACCATTAAGACGACGAAAATCACCACATGGTCGCCAGTCGCCGTTCTTCTTTAACACCATGTGTAACGGACTTGCCCAACAGCTTTTGGAAGGCTGACAAACCCCTGATGCTACCAGAAATTCAAACTCTTGTTTTGCAGCTTTCAACTTCTCTGGCGATAAACGTCGAGGTTTCGAAAAAACAGGACGTCCTTTTGTCTGCATCCAATGTTCTACTCCATGCTTAACTTTTCTTGGCGTGACGCCTGACCTAATCAGAGCAGGAAATTCTGAGAACAAATTGTGGAATTTAGAGTTCTCTAAAATTACCTTTACCGTTGAAGCATTCCCAGCATAGCGGGTACCTCTTGTTTGCAACTTGGTCAAAGGATGAATTACTGCAGCATTTTTGACGTCTACTAATAACCCAAAATTGCGTAAGAAGTCAGCTCCGATAATTGGATGAGGCACGGCAGCGGTGATAAAAGGCCAGCTGAAATCTCTTCTGAGTCCGAGATCTAATTTCAACAGGCGTTGGCCAAACGTTGGAATGGTCGTACCGTTTGCGGCGAACAACTTCATCTGTGAAGAATGCTCACAAGATGCATAGGCAGATACGAGGTATCACAGAGACGTCAGCTCCCGTATCGATGAGATAACGTGAGGATGTAGACTTGTCCGTCAGATAAAGTAGCTGAATCATCGCTTCGCCGTCACCCTTTTGACTGGATGACGGCCTCAGCAGTTTTCCGGCAGGAACGAACATGGAGGTCGGCATTTTGTTGCTCGTCGCTTGAATATTTTATGATACCAGCAATACTGTGAATTTGAAGACTGTCGGCTTCGGCTAGTAGAGCGTTTCTGACTAGTACTTCTCGACCGGTCACTTGTACGGGCTTCCAACCGTGCGAGACGAGCTGTGATCTCTGTCAATAAAGACCGTAAATCCGTCTGATCCGTCGAACCAGCAACTACGCTCACTGACTGTGCGTTAGTTGTTGTAGCCATGATACCATCCGCCATCTCCGCCAGCTTGTCCAAATTATCGTTGGAAATCGCCAAAATCTGTTGAACATTAGTAGGCAACCTCTGCAAAAATAAAGATTTAAGAAGTTCATCGTTAATTCTCGCACCGGCTTTATTCCGCATTTCCAGAAGCAGTCCTGAAGGACGGCGCTCTCCAAGTTGCATCCCCGAAATCAAATCCCTTAAGCGTTGAGCTTCAGATTCAGCATATTGAGCGCACAATCTTTTTTTAAGTGCGGTGAAAGGCTCATCCTCAGGTGGACTGACAACAATATCGCTGATAATCGCCAGTTCCTCCGGTTGTAGAGCAGAAACTACATGGTGAAATTTCGTTGATTCTGTAGTTACTCCAGCAAGAGTGAACTGACTTTCAATTTGTCTGAACCACAATTCTGGATTAGCTCTCCAAACAGGTGGCGGCTTTACAGTGACACGAGCAATTTGTTGATCAGCAGTTTCCGTAGATTCTGGCATTTTTTGCATTAATCCAAAATTTATAAGTCCAACAAAAGAAGTAATTTGTACTCACGGCTTGCCAAAAAACCTTAAAACTTGAAACGTACCATCTACTAGTACTCCGTAATCCATCTACTAGTAGAATCTCTCAAATGCAGTTTGCAGAAACAGAAATATACGTATTCGTTTACAGGTCACCAATTGTATATGTTTCGGTGATGGGAATGTAAGACTTTCAAATGAAACAATATGGCAATGAAACATCCTCTTAAATAGTAAAAGATAACAAACCATCTACGAAACTTCACAAACTCCAATTAACAAGTTATTCTTTAAAAACATTAAAAGTTGTTATTAAAAGAACAATTAAAAACTTAAACTTTTGATTGTAAATGTCGCATACTGCAGGTGGGCGTCACCGGGAAGAATTGGGATATCGGGACGAAGTCTCGGACGCTGCACAACAACCTCTCTCGAAGGCAAACTGTCATCTGCTTAAATACTGGACATCAGCCTTTTCACTCCCTGCCTTGGCCGCCGGTTGATGCTCCTCCGCCGGTACTCATCCGCGCAGGAACTATTTCGGTTCGTCCTCCTACCTTCGGTCTTCGATCCAATACTCGATCCTTCTACCTCGGTTTTCATGTTTTCTCAGCTGTCGCAACCATCAGCCTCTACAAATTTTAAATAAATTTTTATTTTAACGCTAATGGGTACCTAGCGTCATATGGGATTCCAATACAATTTTTATCTGATATATCTTATAAACAACTGCATAGTTTGGTTTAAATAACATTTTTGTGAGTTTTATTCTTTTAATTTTCTGTATAAAATAATAATTTTGTTTTTAATTTAATTTATTTTTCTTGAAGTTTTGCTTTTCTCATACGAAACCTTTTGGGTGATTCCTCATACATTATTTTGTTTCCTTACCACTTGCACTATAGGGTTCGACCCTGCTGGTAAGTTTCTTATAAAGACATTCTATTTTGATTTGTGCTGTGTGTGTGCCATTTTGTCTTACGAAATCATTGAGATGAAAATCGCATTCTAAAAAATTCCGTGTTACTCAAATAATAAAAACATCGTGACTGCTTTTTATTTTACTTCTCATGAAAAAAAATTTTTTTTTATCAGAAAATGCAATTATTTTTCCTTAAATGATTACTAAACTCTAATTTGGGAAATTAAGCACAGTTTTTAATAAATTTTTGAATTGTTCTTATTTGAGTGTTTAAAAAATATTTGTTCTAAGACACATGACTTTTCTCACGGATTACCCCGATATATGCAGTAGTTTAAGTATGAGCCTAAAATTACAATCTTTTTATGAGTGTATCTTTAAAAAAATTATATACAAAACAAATATACTTTTGTTTAAATAAATGACTATTAAACTCTTATTTGAAAAATAAGTGTTACAGTCCCTGACCAACTTATTACACGCCCTATAATATTCTATGTAAAATTTTAATTATCAGGTGGATACTATACAGCTTTATTGTTTTTATGAGAATGAAACCGATTTGCACTTGTTTACGTTCGTGTATCAATTGGTTAAATTAGAAGATATGTTATATAAATTTGACGATAGGATAAATTAGACGATATGTTATATAAATATAGAATATTTATTATATCAAACATTATATTAGTAGTATATTATAATAATTAGATCAAATTATGAGACGCACTGTAGTTTTTTAATAACTATATGATTTGCACGAGTTTAATTGCGATACTTTTATGTTTAAACATACATGAAATGGGTTTTATTCGGGATATTTTTCATATACGTATATACTTCCTATTTGTATTTATTTTTAACTTATTGCATTACAATGTTAACTATTTGATACAGGAGCGTAAAGAAATGGATCCGAGTAAAAACAGTACAGTTGTATAGTATCACCTGATAGTTATAATTTTGCATAGAATATTATAGTGCGTCTAATAAGTTGCTCAGGGACTGTAGTTATATATTACAAACACTTTGTGATAATTTACTAAATCCATGCTTCTGATGTTTTCGGTATAGTATTATTCACCTAAATTAATATTGATGCTATACTTCTTAATTTTAAAAAAAAACGGACTCTGAGTAAAATTTATCGAATACCATTACTTAAAATATTGTGGATCCTCAGTTAATTCTTACAATAATATAAAAGCTGATACATTTCATATTTGAATAAGGTTTCCAAATCTAAAAAAGATTACATGTGTCAACCTAGCAGTCATAATAAAAGGTTATCGGAAAAACTTAACGAATATTAGTGCTCTGCATTCATTTACATAATTAATAAGCTGTTCACTGTATTTACAAAAGGAAGAGATAAATTTATGTAGCTAAACTATTATTATTTTATTACTCATTTGTGATTTAATGTCAAGTTCTGCATTAAATAAAATATTACAAAGCGTATAAAATAAAATACTTAAAACGCATAAAACCATTACATAATAACAAATTAGGTACCGTATTTAAAATGAATCAGATTTTCAAATTAATTATTTTTTGCTACTAACAAGTTTGACGTTTTTTGCTTTATTATTATTTTTCAAAAAAGAAAAACAAACGTTTGTCTCAGTTAAGTACATTGTGTGTATGACGAAAAAACGTTTTTAATTACGTCCACTACAATAACTCCAATTGTTTTTAGATTCCCTTTGATTATCCATGCAACAACTTATTTAATAACTTTTATTCCTTAAAAATAAACTGATTATTACAGTAAAGTGTTCAATTAAAGTTCCCTTTTTTATTGTATAGCGGAGATTCCCATTTTATTAGGTTTAAATTTAGGCTTGGTTAGAATTGAAATTTGTTTTTTTAGTTCTTATTTGAATATTTGTTATCGTTTCGACTAAAAGTTTATTTAGCAACAGTGCGAATAATTATTAATGTTTTAGAACAGCAATTTTATAATAAATATTTTAGTCACATGTGTTCATTAAAATCAGTTTTACACAAAATTCATTTTACAAGAAGGTATTACATTTTGAAATGTAAATATAATTCACTCAATAATTGTATAATGGTAAAACTTTAATCTAAGTTTGTATAACAAAGGTAATATCATGCGATTGCTTTATAAAAAAAGAACAATAATTTTAAGCATTTTGCAAAAGAGTAAGAAAAGCAGAAAACAATAAAACTAAGAAAAGTCTTTTCGTGCTATTGGCGTTAGTGATTAGAGGAATTTTTAGCTCATAAATTTTAAGTCAATAATTCCTTCTAGTTTACACTAAAAAGAAATCACTTAAATTTCGTCAAGTTTTTGGTGTTTGTCAATCGAAACTCCCAAAGTTTCATTTAACTCCCAAAGTACAAACTTTTAAATTTTAATGGAATTTCTATCTGAATTTTTTATTCATTACTAATTTAAAAATAATTATATAAAAATAAATAACGATTTGAAAAAGGGAAGTAAATGAGAATGTCAAATTTCTGTGAATTAATAATATTTGCAAAAAATTTATATTTTTTTCATAAATTACATACAAATAAAAATCTTCTATAGTTTGGAAGTGAAGGGAAGAATAAAATAAAGAATAAACTTACAAGTTAAGCACTAACTAAAGAAGGTTAAAATAATTTAAATCAAAATTCCAAAAGTAATTATAATGTAATTATAGCATTAACTTTGCGCAGAAAAAAAAAGAGCCATGCTGAATAACTTTTGATCAAATGATCGTTCTAGGATTCAATTTTTATGGGTGAAAGGGGGTGACCTCAAACATGTTAATTAATTAGTGCACACGATAGTTACTAAAAAATGTATTTTCTCTGAATACCTTTTTCCCCACTGATTTCGAAACCCTCAAAATATAGGGAGAGTGAAGTCTTCAAATAAATTTTGAGAACTTTTTAAATGATTTCAACAATTGTTTAAACACATTCTAAAATTCGTTTATCCAAACAAAATTCCATGTAAAAAATAACTTTTACAAACTATTTATATTTTATTTAATGACAGTCGAAAACTTTTGTAATGTATACAATTTTTTGCATCATTTTAAAGAATGTAATTTTGCTGGACAAAATTTAGTCCATTAGTTCCTGAAAAATCAAATTTTAAAAATACAACTCTTTTAAAATTCGATTTTTTTTAAGAGCTAAGCGACCCATTTGCTCAAATTTCATTCTCTAAAATGATATAAAAAATTTTATAACTTACAATTGAATTTTTTTTTTATTATTAAACAAAATAATGAAAAAATAATACTAAAAGGTAAATAATTATCTTAAGATACATAAATTTTTTAATTGCGTGCAAAAATTTTGCTCAAAAAGTTCTCGAGATATGGTGAAATACGCAAAAATTAGACTTAACATTAAGGGGTTCAAACTTTTTACTGCTGTCCTGATTAAACTATAATTTCTAGATTACGGCTACTCCCTATACTTCGAAGTTCGGAGATTCAAATCTCTCAAGAAAAAAAAAGGTATATTTATAATTCAGAGAAAGTACATTTTTGTGTTTGATTTCGCTATAGAAAATTTTGCCTGTACTATTTCATAAACATATTTATGGTCACCTCCTCGAACCCTTAAGATTGAATCTTAGAACATCTCATCATTACATCCAAATTTATTCAAGGATGGTCTGCTTATTTATTTACTTATTTTTCTGCCCCCTTACCTTAAATTTAAACCTTAGAATTAATCCTTACCTCAGAATTAATCATATAAAAGAATATTCTCCCTCCCCCCACTTTTTCTTCTCTGGTAACTCAAATCCTTTCGGCATTATCAAATATCAATAATTTTGAATTTTTTAAAAATTATTTGTTCCTAAATAAATTTTAGAATATGATTTATTTTCTTCAAAGCAACTTTTCCCACATATATGGATTCAGATTATTTTTTCTGTCTGCATAAAAGTGATTCATTCTATTATAAAGATTCGATGGTTGGAGAACCACTGAATAGATTCAATTCTTTAATCATTCCTACGATTAACAGGAAACAATGATTAATTATTCCTGCTCCTTTCTCTCCGTATATATGCACCCCCACACACACGCACACACGCGCACGCACACACACACACATACATATATATATATATATANTAGATATATAGATATATATATAGATAGATAGATAGATAGATAGACAAAGCAAAATGAAGATAAAACAAAGGAAAATTACAGACATATAAAAAAAGAGGGTATATAATAAAAAGAGATATAATAAAAATAAAATTTAAAAATCCGCAAAATAAAAGATATAATCTTTTCATCAGCCCACACGATTATATCCGCAAAAAAGAGTGCTTTCTGATATTGTATCAATATAGCCAAAGCAAAATATATTAGTACAATAGAGTGAAGAGCACTCAAAAAATTAAATGACAGAAATGAAACTTATTGTTTTTCTTAATTTTCTTCGCGTTTTTTTGTATTTATTTATTTTGTTGTATTTTGTTGATACATATTAATATTTTTCAAGAAGCTCTCAGAGAATTATTTTAAAACTTTAAAAGTCTCATACATATCGATAAAGTTTAAAGTTTCTAGAGGTGTGAGGGACATAAATTACGAACAAAAAAGAATATCTTTGAACACCTTATGAGAAACAATATAGCAATAAACTCTTAACTTATGTCAATTACGTTGGTTGTTACATGCAGTAACTGCAAAAATTTCGTAAACTCAGCTGAAATATTCATAAATATATATTCATTTTATAAAATAAATAAAAAATCGAATTTTCTCACTTACTTTTTCTTACTGCTGAAATATTAAATAAAATTAAAAAAAATTTAGAGTATTTTTTAATTAATAATGAAAATATCATATTCAACTTTGAAGCAAATTCATTAAAAATTGCTCAAGATATGAGTATTTAGGAAGAAAGTTTTGAAAGGGTTTTCCACAAATTATTAAACAAGATTTATTAAAAATGGGAAATTATATTTCCTATTATCAACACATTTTGTTGTCATCATTTTAGGGTTTTATCATTTGTAGTTTTATATTACAAAACTGTTATTAATTCTTTTTATTTGATTTGCGGGTTTGCGTGGTTCGTATATTACGAGCTCATGAAAATAATGTTGATCGGATTTTATATAAATGACAACTAAAATAATGTATTGCGGATTAATAATCAATATGTTTATTATATACTGCACATTAGTTCATCTCTGTAGACGTAATGAATCCAACTAAGAAGTAACTTTCTGTTCCAATTAATGTAGGTGGCTCTACTAATACAACATACATACCGGCTTCAACATACCGGGTAACCTTGAAACATGGTTTCAAAATTTACACATAAATTGACAAAAATGAAAATTGAACTATACACAATAAAAGATAATTATAAAAACTAATGCAACATACATAAATAAAAAAATAGATATCATAAACAGATGTATAGATTCCTTGGTATAAACCGGATAACTATAACACAATGCAAAAAAGAAAAAGAAAAGTCTAAAATAAAGAAAGTTAATTAGTTAATAGGTAAAACTGACAGTTTGTGAATGGGTCTTTTATAAGTTCCAGTCTCAGTTTTGACACTAACGACTCTTACCTTAGCGTCAGCACTAGGGAAAACTTCTTGTATACGCCCCAATTTCCACTTCAAAGGTGGAATATTGTCCTCTTTAATGGGAATTAAATCATTTATTTTCAAGTTAGGCAGGACTCGCAACCATTTGGGGCGCTGATGTAAGCTGGAAATATACTCGTTAACCCATCTTTTCCAAAAATTCTGGAAAAGGTTTTGAGTCAACTGCCAACGTTTTAAAGGAGATATGTTTTGGTTTAGGAAGTTCTCTTCTGGTATTGAAGAAAGAGAGGTTCCCACAAGAAAATGTCCTGGGGTAAGTGCTGATTGTTCAGCGGGATCGTCCGACACAGGACACACAGGGCCTGATTAACCATTAGGCCCGAGAGGCCTGGGCCTAGGGCCCCCAAATTNTTAATGAGAACTAAATCGTTAATTTTCAAATTAGGCTGTTCTCGCAACCATTTGGGGCGCTGCTGTAAGCTGGAAATATACTCGTTAACCCATCTTTTCCAAAAATTCTGGAAAAGTTTTTGAGTCAACTGCCAACGTTTTAAAGGAGATATGTCTCTTCTGGTATTGAAGAAAGAGAGGCTCCCACAAGGAAATGTCCTGGGGTAAGTGCTGATTGTTCAGCGGGATCGTCCGACACAGGGCACAAAGGACGAGAGTTCAAGCAGGATTCGATTTGGGCAATAGGAGTTAAAAACTCTTCAAGGGTCAATTTATGATCACCTATTGTTCTTTTCAAATGCGATTTTGCGGATTTCACAGCAGCTTCCCAAATTTCTCCAAAGTGAGGTGCTGAAGGTGGGTTGAAGTGCCATTTAATTTGTTCCTCGGCAAAATACTGATGGATGGATTCTTCTTTTCGAAAAGATTTAACCACTCGATTAATTTCCTTATTTGCAGCAAAAAAATTTGAACCACAGTCTGAAAAAAATTCATTTGGTTTTCCTCTTCGCGCAACAAATCTTTTTAGAGCTACAATAAATGATTCAGCGGATAAATTTTCAACAACTTCGATGTACACCACTTTTGTCGCGAAACACACAAAAATACAAACGTACATTTTAACTGATATGACTCCACGTCCAGATCGCGGGTTCACAAAAAATGGACCTGCATAATCCAGACCAGTCTTGGAAAAAACTCTGGAAGGCGTTACTCTTGAAGGTGGTAATTGAGCCATTTTCTGTGACGCGGTTTTTTCTTTTAATCGAAAGCATTTTATGCATTTCCAGATTTGCCTTTTTATAAATGATCTAGCAGTTACTATCCAAAATTCCTTGCGAATAACTGATAATAGTAAAAGTGTTCCAGCATGCAAGAAAGAGTCATGATAGTGAATTATAATTAGATTAGTTAAGTGATGATTTTTCGGTAGGAGAATAGGATGTTTTCTTTCATTTGATAATTGCGTATTTTCTAACCTACCGCCAGCACGGATAAGGCTCTCTTCATCCAAAAACAGATTCAATGAGAGGATCTTACTACTCGAGGAAACTGCTTTGTTATTTTTCAGCTGTTGATATTCGTTTGAAAATTCTTGTTTTTGGACTATTTTAACCAAAAAGTTTCTAGCTAGTTTTATCTCACTACTAGTTAAATAACCACTTATGAGATTGTTCGAAGATTTACAGTTCATTATGAAGAGGAGACACCTAGCTATAATTCTTTATGAAACATTGTAATTGATAGGAAAGTCAATAGGAGTGGTTTCAATCAAACACGATGTCTTTTTGCGTTCTTCTTTGAGAGCGTTTGTTGAGAGAGGGATTTCCTCCAAATGAGATATTTCATCACTTTTCATCCAATGCGGACCTGACCACCATAAATCAAAATTAACTAGTTCATTTGGGGGAAGTCCTCTACTAGCGGAATCAGCAGGGTTTTGACCAGAACTGATATGATTCCAATGTTGAACTGGAAGAATAGACTGAATTTCGGAAATACGATTAGCAGCAAAAATTTGCCAACGTGATGGCTCAGATTTCAACCATGCAAGAACTATAGTTGAGTCCGTAAAAGCGCGTATTGCGTCAATTTTAAGATTCAAGGACTTGAGGACCGTTTGTAAAAGGTGCACTAATAAAACGACTGAACAAAGTTCAAGGCGTGGTATTGATATCGTTTTCAATGGAGCGACGCGTGTTTTAGATATAAGTACTCTAACCTGTTTAGTGGTTATGGTAGTTGATTTTAAGTACATAACGGCAGCGTACGCCTTTTCCGAAGCATCACAGAAATAATAAAGTTCTATTCCAGATGGGAAGTATGGAAGAACTTTTCTAGGTACAGTTAACGTAACTTAAGAAATATCTTCTCGATATTTAATCCACGGCTCTTTAATATCCTGGGACACTGGATCATCCCAAGCCAACTGATGCTTCCATAATTCCTGAATTAGAATTTTAGCCTTTATGATAATAGGGGATAACTATCCCAGTGGATCAAAGATTTTTGACACACAGGACAGGATGGACCTTCTTGTAGGAATTTCATCCTTAAAATCATGACAAAAAGAAATGTTGTAGGTAAACTCATCATGTTTTGGGTCCCATCTTTACCCTAGCACCTTAATAAATTTGGAGTCAGCAGTCTTAAATGGTGTATTGTCAATATTTTTAGGTTGACTAAAAAATTCCAAAACAGAAGGACTATTGGTACACCATTTGTGAAGCTCGAATTTTCCTATTCTCAATAGCTCACTAAGTTCATTTTTTGTTATGGTCGCTTTAAATAAATCTTTAAAAGTTAGCCACTCGGTAATATTACCGCTGAAAAAAGGTAAGGAGATTTTCGGAAGCTTTATAGTTTCACTCGTGTTTTTCTCCAAGTTTGGAGCAGAAAAAACTGACTCATTTCTCGGTTACTCTTTTAGTTTTTTCTCACCACGAAATTTCCATAATATAATTTTTTCTTCATACTCGTTTGCCTTATCTAGTTCGTTATTCAGCTCAGTTTCATCTTCAATAAGATTCTCAACTGCAGAGTTTATTTTTTTAACTCCGTTTCTTTTATTTTTAATAGCCCTAAAGTTTTCAGATAATTCATCAAAATTAATTTCTTCTACTAATAATTTACCTTCTATGTTTTTTCAAATAACCAGTTACTGCTCGTCGTACAGAAGACAGTTTTGTTTTTACTTTTTGGAGTTCTAATTCTTTTGCCATGTTTAATATCTAAAATAGTTCAAATAACTATAAAGTCTACTTACCCCTTCTTCGGGATAAATTTAGAATATATTACCATATGATGCGTTTGTAATCCAATGGAAGGCGTTGATTATTTTTTAATGCGCAACACTATCTTCACGAGCCATGCTGCGGCTCGACTGACCATATTAATATTTTGTCTTTGATTTGCGTTTGCGGGTTTGCGTGGTTCGTATATTACGAGCTCATGAAAATAATGTTGATCGGATTTTATATAAATGACAACTAAAATAATGAATCGCGTATTAATAATCAATATGTTTATTATATACTGCGCATTAGTCCATCTCTGTAGACGCAATGAATCCAATTAAGAAGTAACTTTCTGTTCTAATTAATGTAGGTGGCGCTATTAGTACAACATACATACCGGCTTTAACAAATGTATTTGGGCCCTATCATTTAGAGATTTCAATAAAAAGTATGAAAGCTACTTAGAAGCTTTTTAAATTTGTTAAGATATTCAAACCTTTACAGTAGGTACTATATGCGATTCTAAACAACATTATGAAAAAAAAAAATTGTAAATGTTTTTCGCGCATGCGCAGTATAAAAGGATTACTCATATCTAGTGCAATTTTTAACGAATTTTTTTCACATTTTAAAAGTATCTTTTCATTATACTACGTTTAACTGTATTGCGTATATATATGTTTAACAGTATTACAGTTCTGCAAGATTGTTCGTTCTCCTTAATATGTACTTTAAGAATTGTACTGAACATCAAGAAAGTATTAACATGATCAAATTAATATTTAATCTAGAAAGAATAAAAAGTCTGGCATATCACTATTCAAAGTGAGTGCAAAAATACCCAAATCAGTTTCATAGTCATATGAAAAGGTGTTCCTCCCAGTTACCTGTGGCAATCAATGAGTTTCTTCCTCAATAGTGATTCACAAGTGTTTTTTCTCACTTAAATATCTATTAAAATGTTTATTATTTGTTTTTATTAGAAATCTATTAATATATGTCACAGGTGATCATTACAGAACACACTGTATGCAATAAGTTCAAATAAAAGAAGTTTTTAAGGAGAACTATTGAGGGATATCTGTGACTACCATAATACATATTTTATTTCGATAGAATATAAAAGAATTATATCAATTTTTTACGATGTTTACATCTTTACAAAAGGTAAATATTAGCTTAAACTAAATGTTTCTTGTAATGAAAATAAGTATTTTAAAAAGCAATAATTTTAATAGGAATAATGTATTTATGACTCCCTTACGGACTTTTATTATGATAGAATGTAAGTATCACTTTTTCATGGGGTGATGAACACATCATTGCACAAAAAGTAATTAAGTTAGTAATGATGTAAAATAAATGCTTCTAGCAATGGAAAAAAAACATTAAAAAAATAATAAATGTAGCAGAAATAAAAAACTAAATAATGATTTTTAGTTTTCTTTACTATATTTTATTTTATTTTTTTAAAACTTAATAACAACTTAAATAATATTTCACACGGTTTTATTTTCAACTTATTATAAGTTTCAAGTTAACTCCAGGAAATAAAATAATTGCTAAAAATAACATAATAACTTTCAATTGTAGTTCTATTGGTTAGTTCTATTTCTAGTGCAAAAGTTAAAAAGTGTGATAAGTCGAAAAACTCCCATACGTTCAATATTAACACTAGAAAGACTGAAACTTAGTATATACCTATATTGCCCAAAAGCAGTCAAAATGACTGGATTGTAAAAGACTAAATAATGTGTAAAGAAATTTGCTTAAAATTATTTTCTAATATTTTTTATATTATTTACAGTTATTTAACAAGTTATTAGTAAATATTAACAATAAAAAAATTATATGTTGTACAAAATTCGAAGAAATTGTGTCATTATATACATCATTGTTTTTCTAATTGAAATTAAAAGCAGTCAAAATAACTTCCTTAGGCAATCCAGTGTTTAGTTATACTGCACTTCACAACTGGTATAAAGAATAATAAAATGTAAAAATCGAATTAAAACAGTTCTGATTTAACAAATCTAATTGTTAATATCAGGTGAATTAAATCTAACTGTTTTGTCAAAACCGAAGTATATTAAATAAAATTATGCCTTTTTTAAAACATAAATTCTGTAATGGTTAAGTGATCCTAACAATAAGATCTTTTTAAATACCTACAAAAAGAAATTAATTTTACAACAATTTATTCTTCGCATACTTATAAATTAACTCCCAGATAAACAACACGAGGTTTGAGAATGACACAAAAAGTTACATGAATAAATTTGCTTCATTCATTTAGGTAAAATAAATATATATGACGAAATAAAGCAATTTCATTTAATTTTTAAAAGAACCTATTTTTATAAATTTCTGCAATATTTCTAAGAGAATGAAATTTTAATGAAAAACACCTCTTGTCTAAGTGTTTTGTTTATTTTATTTTATTTTATTGATCGAGGGTAGTTGACGACAACGAATGTCCAATTGCGGTTCAATATAATTTCATTCTTCCATTATATTTATGCGTTATCATCGCTAATCGCAAACGGTCAACCAATGCAGATCCGCTTTTATGCAAACGGGTAATATTTATTTATGGCAAATACTTCTCAATATTTAAAACAAGGCGATTCAAAAATTTCCATCATAAGAAACCGTGTTTAATTTGCAACTTAAGAATTAAATTTATGGTCATAAGGTCCGGGTAAACTAAGCGAACATTGGGAGTCGGAAATTTGGGTCCACTGTTCAACGAAGGTTATAAAACCTAAAGCCTGTACTTCGGTTCAGGGCTCCTGTTCGAAACGAGCTGTTTTTAATTTTCAAAGTCTTGAAGTCTAGATTTAAAAAAACATAAAAAAAGCAAAATTGTTTAAATTTAAATTTATTATCCCTTTCTGCAATAAAAAAAATTCTAAATTATGATTTTTATATTGAACATACAAAAAGTATTTGGTGAAACATGAAATTCTAATTATATTCTTCATATAAATATGTATAGATTTTTATTCATAGAATAATTATATCTAATAATGTTTCACAAAAGTATACAAGTAAATATTAAAAATATTATCCCTTTCTGCAATAAAAAAATCCTAAATTATGAATTTTATATAGAACATACTAATAGTATTTTTTGAAACGTGAAATTTTAATTATAATCTTCATATAAATATAGATTCATTAAAATAATTCTGTTTCACAAAATTACGCAAATCAATTATTGATTCCTCAGTAAAAAATAACAATAGCTCTTCAGACCCGCAGTCGACAATAAAGCAAGCAAAAAGTAAGTTATGTGATGTATGACGATATTAAATTCTAAGAGATGTTCTATATAAAATCTTAAATTATGAATTTTATTTAGAACTTACTAAAAGTATTTTTTGAAACGTGAGATTTTAATTATAATCTTCATATAAATACAGATTCATTAAAATAATTATGTTTCACAAAAGTA